AGCTACATCTTCAGCAAACAACAACCTTGTTTAGGGTTTAGGGGTTTAGGGTTTAGGGTTTAAATTTAGATTTGAAAACTAGGGGCCATGGTATGGAGACGGATTGAAGAGTTTTTCAACTATCACCCCCCCTCAAATCTCGAACCTGTCACCCAGAGACTCCAATGTCCCTGAATTATGGAATATACCTTAAATCCTACCCTAAACCCTAAACCCAGTATAATTTAAAGTATATTCCTTAGTTTAGGGACATTGGAGTCTCTGGGCACCTTGAACTGCAAGGTCCACACCCCAAATGGTGTGCCTCGAATGTCTTCCCACGGCCCGCAAGGCCTGCGTTCCGAACCCGAAATCCCTCCAACCTTAAGGTTTAGGGTTTAGGTTTTAGGGGTTTAGGGGTTTAGGGGTTAGGGGTTTGGGTTTAGGGTTTAGGGGTTTAGGGTTTAGGGTTTAGATACATACGGCCATTCAAACTGAACCCACCAATTAGAATAGGGGGTTTGGGGTATACTATACTATAATCATGATAAGGGGCCCCCCAACATAGTATAGGTAACTATTAAGGCCCCGATATTAGACCCCAAACCAGGCCATTTCAGGGTTCACGGCTTTAGGGGTTTAGGGGTTTAAGCCCCGACAATTTTAGGGGCCTTACTAATTAGAATAGGGTTTGGGATACATCACACTATAATTATAACAAGGAACCCCCCTACACCCTAAACCCTAAACCCTGTTCTATTTCTTAAGGCGCCGCTATTACCCCCTCGAGCTTGGGTTGAGACCGGGCCACGCGGTACTGAGCTTCACCTGAGCTGCAACGATTTCACGACAACCACGCTGCGGTTGACGATATAAATTACCTTAAGGACCGCAAACTATGGGTCCCTAGGGTTCCTGGAAGGATTTAGGGTTTAGGGTTTAAGGATATAAATCCTGCATTACCTTAAGGACCCTAAACTGTGGGAATTTTGGTATTTTCCTTATTATGGGCAATGCAGGATTTCATGTCATCAACCGTAGTTTCCACCTGGAGGTCTACTCAACCCCACCCCGACACGCGAAGCCCTGAAACCCTAAAGTTCTTGGGGTTCAGGGCTTAGGGTGTGGTGTGGGGTCTAGAGTTTAGGGTTTAGAGCGTGGGGTTTAGGGTTTAGGGTTTAAGGCTGAGGGTGTGGGGTTTAGGGTTTAGGGTTTAGGGTTTAGGGTTTAGTGTGTGGGGTTTAGGGTGTAAGACAGGTCCACCGCAAGGACCATGGGACTTAGCTAGATAAGGGCACTCCGCTTCTAAATGCCTATTATTGTAATCCCCCAACTAACGTACTCATAACCTTCCTTCTAAGTCCCATGATCCTCCAAGCGCTCAAAGCCCTAAAGCTTAATAGTACCCCCCCCCCCTAATAGATCCCTAAAAGGGCCCCTTATAACCCCTACACACTAAGTCCCATGACCCTTCAAGTCAGCAGGGACACAGATTCCTTGAGGGAGACGGGGAGTTGGAACACCATGATCCCGATGCTTTGATTCCCAGACCCCTGAAAGGAACCAACAAGTAGATCCCTTAATGGGGGTTCCTATAAAGTACATGAAGTACACTTTAAGTAGCATCGGTTCCCAAGTTAGGGGATCTATATACTTTTTAGCTCCTCTCGCGGGTCTGGGAGATGGAACAAAAGCCGCAAGCATCCTTAACTCATGCTTCAAGTTTGTAGAGTTCATTGCAAGGTCCCGGGGAACATCTGGACCATTATGACTACTTGGAGGATCAAGGGACTTAGTAAGTAGGGTTATAAGGACCCTAATTGGGGTTACAAGTAGTTAGAAGTCTAGTTACGTTATTAAAAACCTAGTTAGTACGTCTCATGAACTTCTAAGTGCCCATGAGCCCAAACCCCAGAGTCCTTCGAACGACACTCGACTTCTTGTGGGACCACCCGATTAGCACACTCTTTTCTTAGCGACTAGAAAGGGACCTGTATACCGAAAGAGCGATGCACCGAAATCAAAACTTTAGCCCCCACAACCATAAAATCCCCATCCCCCCTTCTTGAAGGTGTTAGAGGGTTTAGCCCCTTTCTAGAAACCTCCTTCTTGCAGGTGAAAGAGGCTCAGGTCGCCTTCACTGAGCTGGAGCAACTGGTACAAGGCCTGCACCCATAGACGCCCCTGTAGTACTCTGTCAGTGGTTTAGGGTGTAGGGTTTAGGGGTCAGGGGTAAGCAAAAGGTGCCCGTCTAGCCAAGATTGGGGTCTTACCATTTCCTGGGTTTGAGGCTTCGGATTTCAGGGCAAGGTCTTAAGGATTTGGCAGGGGTGTACTTAGGGTGCCGGGCCGAACGGTCTTAGACATTAGGGCCCTGTATTTCTCACCCCAAAAAACCTGAAAAAAGAGCCCTAAGGGTTGAGAGGCACAACATTGAAACACTACTTGGGGAAGCAGCTTTATGTGGAGTTTTCAGTCTCAACCGTGTCTTCCATTACCCCTGCCAAGGTTAGGGCCTAGGGACAGTTTGTTGAGGTTTAGACTTGGACATACCCGTTGTGATTGTAAGTTTGGAGCTGTTGGCGACTGCGGCATCAAGTACTGCTCGCGTCTTCACCTGTAGCGCCCTTGTCCTTATGACCACTGCACACGTTACCCTAAATCTTAAACCCTACACCCTAAACTCGAACCCTAAATCCTAAACCATGGTGACTAGCACTCCGCTGGATGTTTCTGTCATCATTGTCACAATCGAGCCCATGGTGCTTGGATTGTTGGCTTCTGCTTAGTACTAGTACTCTCATACTACTAAGAGGTAATACCGGCAGCAGTACTATCGTAAGAATAGGTCTGATTGTCCACTTTTTCTTGATGTCAGTAATGTGAGGGCCTTAAAAATCAGAATAGGGTTTGGGGGGTTCCTTTTGATACCTGTGTAATAGACCCCAAAACGCTAATCTAATTATTAAGGCTTCTATACCATAGAGTCCTATTATAGATCCCTTATAGAAGCCTTTAGGAGCCCTTAAAGGAGCCCTATTCTAATGATTAAGGCTCCTATAGTACTCACCGGGCAGTGTCTCGCGCCAATCAGTCAATGACTTGAGGAGCTGGGGAGGTTTGGACGTATCGGGACACCACGAAGCCTGTTGTAAACAGAGGGTTTAGGTTTGGGTTGAGGGTTTAGGGTTTAGGGTTTAGGGCTGTGGGTTTAGGGCGACTGCTGCCACTCCATCATCTGACTAGCTGCAGCTTCTTTAGGTGCATCTCTCTGAATATTAGTGGGCCTTCTTCCTAATTTTAGACGACATATCATTTAACATGTAGTGCTGGGCCTCTCGCAATAGCTTTGCGGAGGGCAGCATACGAAATACGAGTCACGTTGGCAGCTCTATTTCAAGTCAGGTCGGGTCGTTAATTCCTCTATTTTCGGGTGACCTCGGGTGACCTCGCTATAAATTGGCCAGGCAACGGGGTTGAGGGTTTAGATTTGGGGGGGGGGGGGTGGGGTGCAGCATGCCCTTAGCAGGACTCCCTGGTGGTTCTTTACCGGATAACTTTACACACTGCATCGTCTGCTAGTTGCACGACGGGTATTCGAAGCAGATCACCAGCTCAGAAGAACGCGGTTTAGGGTTTAGGGTTTAGGTTGTTGAAGTTACATGCAAGAGTCCAACTATCATTATGTAATACCCTTAAGCTAGGAAAGATTCCTTCATCAAGGGATTCATTGGGCTATCTGGGCTCCCAAATCCCAAGCCCCGCCGCCCCCCTCCCCCCGGCCCCTGAGCTCGAAATCCCTTAAACTCAGCCGAAACCCGACGACCCTGAACTATGGTCCATACGACCCAGAACCCCAAATCTAAACCCCCGAGAAGCCACGAGGCCAATGCTTGGGCCTGGTGGAGGATTTCCGACTGAGATAGGATGGCAGCAGCCGTGGCAACGCGATAGGAAAGGCCATGATAGATTTCATCAACCTGGCTTCGCTTTTCTCTAAGCGCTTTAGGAGGGACCCTTAATAGGGACCCCTTGTGTAGGTTATTGGGGTTCATATGGAGACTACCTAGCTATATAAGGTAATGGGATTAAGGGTCCCTATTAGGGGTCCCTCCTAAAGTCCTTAGATTTTCGAGCCCAAAACCCTAGACCCTAATCGATAGATTTCACCAACGGAGTGACCAAATCAACGGCGTAAGCCCTCAGGCGCAGTCGGTTAGCGTGTCGAGTCTTTGCCCGGTTCTTGCAGGAGCATCGTTAGGGATGCAAGGGCCTTTAGGGCCTGTGTACTTAAAGGATCATGGGACTTAGTAAGGCCTTTAGAATTCGTTGCAAAAGGGTTTTGTTGGAAGTTGCGTGCTTGTGGACTGCCCGCCGCCGCGGTCAGGACATTTCCCAGACCCCTGAGAGGATCCAACAAGTAGGTCCCTTAAGGGGGTTCCTTTGTACAGTAACCTTTAAGAGTATAGGGTGCTGAATCTAGTGATCTGCTTTTAGATCCTCCTCCCTAAACCCTAAACCCTAAAACCCTACACGTCTGGGTTGAGGCGCCGCATGTTTCCCCATGCCTTTAGCCCTCGATAGCTCTGAGGCCCCGATCCGCATAAATCTCGAGGAAACCCAATACGAAGACTTCTAGGGCCTCTACTTAGGGTTTAGGGTTTAGGGTTTAGGGTTCAGGGTCATCTGGTTCATATGTAGTGTTTTTAGTATCATTAATGTTATTATTCTTCACATGCTTAATGTTCATAGTGATAGTTGCTACCAATGCTGGTAGTACTGTTGTTATTAGGATTAACTTTATTTTGCATGTTGTTAGTATATGTATTATCATGATGACTACTAAGGTGATCCTTCGAAGGCTCAGGATGTCCTCAACCTCGAGAATGACACACAGACTGCTCTAATGATCGTAGACAACACGCCAAGCGAATGCCATGTAGTCTCATGGTGCTAGCGCAGAAGACCATTCCGAACATGAAACACTTATTGGTTGGCGAACCGCGAAAGAGAAGTCGTGGCATAGTTGCTCCAGGCTGTGCTGGTTGCAATATCACGGGAGGGTTGACCACCGCTGCGCTATACCCAGAAGACTGCTTGACCCAAACCCTAAACCCTAAACCAAGACATTTGCACCACTGCACCCACAACCCTAAACCTTCAAGCCCAAATCCTAAACTCTACTGAGGACCATTATTCTAGGCCTTACCTATGGAACCCTGACAGTAACCCTGGTACCACTCCCTCTAGGCCTTATATTAACCTTATAGGAGATAGTAGCCGCTTCCAGCCCCTATAGTGACCCCTCATGGTAATTTCGGAGCCGTAATGAATAAGAATAGGGTTTTGGGGTATGTTATACTATAATTATAATCAGGAACTCCTAAACCCTATTCTACTCCTTAAGGCCCCTCAGGGTAAACTCTTTACGGAACCCAAGCGGGAGCCTCGGGAGATGGACGCCAGGACTTTCGCAACAGGGAGATCGCACCCCAGGTCTTTTCGACGCCTCGGTGGCTCGACAGTACGGTTGATGGCATAAACCCTGCATTAGCCCAAAGACGGAATATACCATGATACCGGCTCCTTCAGGTAATGCAGGGTTTATATGCCTAAACCTTTAAAGAGACCCTGGGGACCCATAGTTTAGGGTTGTTAAGGTAATGCAGGACTTATATCATCAACGGTAGAGACCAATTCATGGCGTAGGGCTTGTGGTTCGAGGGTGCAGGGGTTTGCGGGTGTAGTTGTCGGGTCCCTATACATTCTAATAAGGGTCCTTAACCATAAGAACCTACAAGAAAGTATATATTAGGGCTTGGTAGTTTAAGCCAGAGCTTACAATTCGGGGTTTAAGGGCTTTGGCTTTAAGGGTGCCGGATTCAAGGCCACATTCGCTTAACAGGTGGCCATCGGGATCAAGGGTTCAGGGATCCGGGCCCCAGACCATCGGGAGGATCTGAAGAGTCGATCTTCCTCACCCTACTAAAGGGTACTTTATAGGAACCCCCTTGTGGGATCTGCCCTGCGGATTCGGCCAGGGGACTCGGGCATGCTTGGGACCCGACGCCTCGCTTTCAACTAAGTACTCCAAACACCGACATTGTATGTGTGTATATATATATATATACATATATCTATATATGTCTATGAATATAACTATGATATAACATATCATATCATATGATTGAGATCTGATGGAATAGCTGCATATTTCCTAGGAGAAGCAGCGCTGCACGTTGGGCTTCGCACGATCCAAGCAAACCTCCAGAGGATTGAAGACTTCCTGGCAGGCAGCTGGCGAGCATTTGGAGGATCTAAACAGTAGATCGCCTAATTTTTGGATTTTTTTATGATTAAAGGGGACTCTATACAGGGCCCCGTGAGGGATTTACTTGTTGGATCCTCGCAGAGGTCCGGGTGTCGAACCTCTAGGATCAGGGGGCTCAGAAGGGGTTATGTTATCTTACTTTCCACCACTGTCCCTGGGGAGCTATACGGTTAGTTTTTTGGGTTCTGTTGCAGTACACCAAGACTCCACTACTAAGTTTATGACCGATATCACTATCCTGGCGCTTGTAGTTAGGGTTTAGGGTTTCGAGTTTAGGGTTCATCAGGGCGCCTCAGCCCAAAGTTTTGCCTGTTAAGCTTAGGAGGCAGTGACCCTAAACCTTAAACCCCAACCCCCAAACCCTAAACTTTAAACTGTTCATGTCCACCTCCGTAGCAACATCAGAGTCACAGTTTGGGTACTGCCCACATACAGCAACAGCCACCAGCAGCCTAAAACAAGCCTACGGGTAAGGGCCTCATACATCGGTTTAGGGTAAAGATATATGATATATCGATACCCTAAACCCTAAACCCTAAACCCAAAACAACCATCATGCGGCTTTGTGGGCACAGTATCCAAGTCATGCCTCTCCTCTGAGTATATGGGGGTTTCAGAAAATAGGGGACCCTAATAGAGTACCCTAAATAGTAGGATCCTTATTATAAGGACCCCCAAATAGGATACCCTAATTTTCGGAAACTCCCATATAAAGGGCTAAAGGCCCGGTTCTCCGGCTCCACACCCTGAAGATCCTAATATCAGGCCTTAACGGTTTAGGGTTTAGGGTTTAGGGTTTAGGGTTTAGAGTTTAGGGTTTAGGGTGTAGGGTTTAGGGTTTAAGGGGTCTTAATAATTAGAATAAGGTATTGGGGTACACTATACAATAGTTATAATAAAGAAACTCCCCAAAATAATATTGGTACTACTTAGACTTAGGCCCCTATATTACTCGTTCGACTAGGGAGACTGATTCAAGGAACACCTATGTACCCTGAAAGGAGCCTTTCGTGAAGCCTTGACAGCCCATTTTTAAAGTAATGTAAGCAACCCGACACCGGAAATCTAAGCCCTAAGCCGTAACTTATGTATATCCCAAAAGCCCTAAACCCTAAAACCCAAAAAACTCTAACAAAACGATTCCAAAGTCCGACATATTAGCCTGCTGAGATCCGCGGAAGCTGTAACGCCGCCTACTTGGAGGGTCATGGGACGTAGTAAGGTTCTAAGTTGGGGCTTCAGGGTCCCTTTCAGGCAGTGTACTAATGATGGTTTAGGGTTCTTGAAGGATCATGGTACGTAGTAAACTAGCACAGCGAACTCCAACAAATTGGAACATGGGTTCAGGATGCTCTGTGCTAGGATACCTTATATTTTACCTTAAGGCCATGAGGGCTATGATGTTCCAACTTTATGCCTTTTACCGTAAGTGAGAACATAAACACCTCAATGAGGGTTACAAGTAATACCATGGAATAACCATAAGTCTAGGCACCTTTGTTTATTACCCTATTTGCTATGTCTCACGACCCGTCACGTAAACTACCAAGGGGTCCTTAATGTGATCCCACAAGCACGGAACTTCCGCGCATACCTTGCGAAATCCCCAGGCCTCAAATGTGAGCTGCTTGGGTTTGAGAGTGGTCTTGCGGAAGAGGCTGTTGTGGATCCTGCCGATCTGAACGGACGAGGCTGCAAGGGGCCTGAATATTTAGAATAGGGATTGGGGGTATACTATACCATAAGTATAATAAGGAAAGCCCAAAATAATATAGGTAATTATTTAGGCCCCTACAGTATAGAGGAGCAACGGAAAGTGCCAGGCAAGACTTCGTGTACTCCAGGCGTCCAAAGGAAGCAGACACTTCGAAAATCCTCTAAGGACTATGCCGAAATTATCAAATTGTCCTAAAGCCCGCAGGCCCTACGGCCCAAGCCGAAAGCCAAATTGCACTACTGTTGATGATTTAAACCCTGCATTACCTTAATGGCTCAAAACTATGTAACTATGGTGTATTCCTGATTCCTTATTATGGGTAATGCAGCCATCAACCGTTGTGAAACCTAAACTCTAAAGGCACAACAACCCGAAGCCTGCAGCCCTGCAGCCCCAAGCTGAAGGGTTGAGGGTTTAAGGCTTAGGGTTTAGAGGGTTAGAGGGCTAGAGGGTTAGAAGGTTTTGTGTTTGGGGTTTGAGGTTTAGGGGTTTGGGGTTTAGGGGCTAGGGTTTGGGGGTTTAGGGTTTAGTAACACCCATTCACATCCGAATGTAGGGGCCAAACTGATTTGCGTAGGGTTTTGGGGTATAGTGTCGTTTAGGTATGGGTATAATAAGCAACCCGAAACACTAGTGTCACCAGCTATGCAGGCTTCTGCCCTTAATTCTGCACGCTTTAGGGTTCAAAACGCACGATTTGGGATTCAAGGCTCAGGCTTCAGGAATGCGTATGGAACTACGAATTCTGACAACCATGGTGTCACGACTTACCGTAGTCATTGTCTTAATTAAGGCATAGGGTTTATGGACACCCGGCAGCCCGGCGTTGCTCAGCCAAGACGCTGTGCTGTGCTCACCTAGATCTGCACCAGAGGTTGCATGGCTTTCACGATCGTCCACCTTGCTTTTTGTAGTGATATCCTTATTCTGATTGCAAAGGGGAGTTTTTTCCTGTGCGAATACGACAATCATTCAGAATTGCTCAGCCAAGACGCCGTGCTCGACAACCAGAACCAGTTTTGTTCCAGCCGGCCACATGCTCATGCCAGTTCGAACATTGTAGAGGTAACGGCCTTCCACACTTCCTGTTGTGAAGGTCATGCAACATACAATCATTCTGAACAAGTAAAGGAAACCATATAAGAAACCATATAAGATGCGTAACTAGTCACAACCAACAGTTGCAGTCCAAGCCCCAAGCCCGAACCCACGACCCCAACGGCCTAAACCCTGCAAAGAGCATTCCCTCCAGAGAGCCCCATGCCCCTCAATTAAGGAATGTAAGCTCAGGGATCTCACCAGGAGCCCTGTAGGTATAACAACGCGTATAAACTCAAGTTGCACATCCTGAATTACGGGCTATTGTTCCCTATACCCTAAACCCTAAGCCTAAGCCCTAGTCCTAAACCATAAACCCTAAGCCCAAAGCCCAAAGCCCTAAACCCTAGGCCTTAAGGCCTAAGCCCTAAGCCCAAAACCCCTAAACCCGTAAAAGGGTCTGGCCCAGCCTGGAAACGTCCTTGGAGAACTGCTCCAGGACCATATCCATAGCGGCGGCTAGGTGATACTCCTTGACCTGGCTTCAGGGTTTAGGGTTTAGGGTTTAGGGTTTACCATCGCCACATGCTGGTCACATGTAAGCTAAATGGACCCGATTGGGGTTATCTTACTTGTAACCCTGGTCTAAGAAGGTACTTCATAATCAGCCCGCAATAGGGGAGCTCTAGGTTAAAGTTATGGTGCTCCCTGACAAACCCTAAACCCTAAACCCTAAACTGCCCCCTCTCAGAAACTCGAAAGTCCCTTAACTACATGCTTGGATTGCCCAAAAGCACCCAGTAGGGGGTTGGGTTTAGGGTCCGAACATTCCTGGGTCTCAGCTCAAAGCCTACATAATGTAGGGGCCTAAATGATTACCAATACCAATTGCGGGGTTTCCTTGTTGTAGTTACAGTTACAGTATAATGCGCCCCAAAACCCTATTCTAATTGCTCAGGCCCGTACCCTAAACCCTTCTTATGGTAACCCTTTAAAAGGACCCCTAAAAGGAACTCTTTTCCAATTGTTAAGGCCCTTAGAGCACCCTACTTTACTTACTAAGTCCACTAGTTGCTGGATCATGGTACTCAGGGTTAGATCTACTCCAAGCTTAGGGTTTTGGGGTTTAGGCTTTAGGGTTTAGGGGTTTAGGGTTTGGCTATGATTACTTGAAGCACTAAGTCCCATGATCCTCTAAGTACTGCATTACTTGGAGGTTCATGGGTAGTTATAACTGGGGTTATAGGTAGGGTAACTATACTGATAACCCATATCAGGGGACTTATACCCCCACTTATAACTACCCCTAAACCCTAAACCCTATAGAACCCTTTCAAGGAACCTTATAACCCATATCAGGCGACTTATAACACCACTTATAACTACCCCTAAACCCTAAACCCTATAGAACCCTTTTCAAGGAACCTTATAACTCATATCAGGGGGCTTATAACCCCACTTACAAGTACCCCTAAACCCTAAACCCTATAGAACCCTTTAAAGGAACCTGATAACCCATATCAGGGGACTTATAACCCCACTTATAAGTCCCATGATCCTCCAAGTACTGCGTTATCCTCCATAAACCCTAAACCCTAAACCCTAAAGGTACTGCGTTCTGGGCAGATCTCTCCGGCCTTGTCCAGGCAGGGCACGCCGTTCCTGAGCACTTCCAGCGTTTCCCAGAGACTCCAATAGTCCTTAATTAAGGAATATTCCTTAAAGAATTGGGGTTTAGGGTTTAGGGTTTAGGAATTATTCCTTAATTAAGGAATATTCCTTAAATTCTAGTAGGATCCTTAATATGATTTAAGGTATATTCCTTAATTAAGGAATATTCCGTAAATTATAGTAGGATCCTTAGTATGATTTAAAGTATATTCCTTAATTAAGGAATATTCCTTAAATTATAGTAGGATCCTTAATATGATTTAAGGTATATTCCTTAATTAAAGGATGTTGGAGTCTCTGGGTTCGCGGTTCCCTGCAAACCCCCAAAACCCTGAACCCCATACCAGAAAAAGCCGGGAAGAGCTGAAACTGAAACCTAAACACTTTGAACCTGAAGCGCCTGAAACTAAAAATCCGAAGTTTCAGCCGTACTAAGCCCGGAGTCTTTAGCCTCAGCCCTGAAGCCTCATCTAGGGGCCTTAATGAATAGAACAGGGCTATGGGGCACATAGCTACTAGAACTATCACTGTCTATCGGGGGGTACGATTACCAAACATTCCCACCATTATATAGAACTACAACTATCAAGCCTGAACACTACATCGTCAAACTCGAAACCATAAACCCCGAAAGCCTTGCTTTGAAGCGGGGAGCAAAAACCTAAATCAAACCCCAGATCCTAAACCCCTGGCAGTTCGCAATTCAAAAAAACTTGACACTAAACCTGTCCATCTTCAGTTCTCCTAAAGCCTTGAAGCCCCTAACCCGGAAGGCCGTAAATCCCCTAAGACTTCTATCCTTCGCTGCCCTAACTTAACGCGCCCTACAGCCTTAACGCCCCTAAAGGCTTGCTAAATGGACAGCCTACAAGACCCTTCTACCAAGAGTCCAAGAGAAACCCGATTAGATGCCGATTCACACTAATTGTCGAGCCACATACAAGCCGTATTGACCCTCCACCCAACAAAAAAACACAACTCCGAAAGAACCTCGAAATGCTGCGGAGCGTCATCTCCTCGAACAACGGGTTGAAGAGGCCCGGGTCGACTGGCAAAGGGCGGAGGAACGATTTCGGGTTGTGGGTGTTGGAGGATGGGGGCAATTTTGGGATGTGCGGGTTTGGGTTCGGGGCCTTCGGCTTTAGAGTCTTTGGGTTAGGCTGTTAAGCATTGAAAGTTCAGCAAGTGGGAGCAAGGTTTAGAGAAAAGTCAGCATGACCCTTTATTGTCCTTCGTCTTTTGCTGGAAAAGAAGGAAAGGTTTAGGACTGAAAGGTGAAGGTTTACATTGTGGGTTCAACATCAATTGTTGCCGTCGCCATCATCACAGTTGTAGTCAGCGCAACAGCATTGCACTACATAGAGATCTTGCAAGACGGCAACATGAAGTGACGCTGGTTCACTCTGGCCCACCTCCACGCTGGATCTTGTGCGTCAGCACCTGGCCCGGCTTGCAGAAGCTACGATGAAAACAGGCACCACTGATTACTAAACTGCAAAGCCTGGGGTTTGGGGTTTGATTTTGCCTGTGTCTTGAACTGAATCCTCAACTAGGTCCACACCCACAAAACCGTAGGCCACAGATCACATGTTTCATGCACGTGTCCCTGGCAGACGCATGCCTTGGTCTCGATGTCCACGGCCCTCCTCGGCACAAGGCAGATTACGTACAATGTTCCAACCAAAAGATACACTGTTTTCCTAATACGTCATATCAGACTGATGCGCGGTCATCACCGTCCGACTTAAGTTAAAAGGTGCATGTGCGGACACAATGGCAATCGTATTCGGGGCATGGACGAAATCACGAGAAGATCGCTTGCGACACGCATGACGACAGACAGCCTGCTTCGACAGCCATGACAGGGTTTCCAAGAAAGTCCTTTTCGACTTGACTACGAAGTGCCCCCCCCACTCCCTTGCTTTCCATCGTCGGGCGCCGGATGCAGCCACTGCTTCCGTGAACCATGGACACTCTATGTAGTTTTGGTCGGAAAATAACAGATTTTTCACTTAGGATGGTTGGGCCGGTTAGGCTTGCAATTTGACACGGTGTGCAGCAACCCAAACGACATGCTCATGTCTTTTGCGAGCCAGAAAACCCGTTGTCGACCGCGCTGCACGGTTTAGTTGGACTTCTTAACATTGCGAGTCCTTAAACTCGGGCGTCTTTTCCAAAAGGAGCTTTCTAGAAGATTAGGAATCCAAGAATAAGTTGTATGTTGTACTATGTCAGGATCCTATCATCGAACATCTGCATGCACCAGTCTTCTGAAGCTCTCATGTCTCTGCAAGTTGTAGCCACCCTAAAGCCACAGCCTTGAACTCTAAGTCTTGCGCTCTGCCAATGTGTGGACATCCAGTCTGCAAGAGGGCTACTTTCAAGGGCCTTGTAGGTCTATATAATCAACGTTATTCAACTGTTACTGGGTGGGGGCAGTATCCAAGGAACAATCCTTATGCCGCCACAGGACTTTCTAGCACGGCTTACGGCTGAATACAGGGCTGAAGAATTCGAACGGGGTGCTGGGGCATACTGCGTCATCACATAGGGGACGACCATAGCACAGAGGCCTCGAAACTAGAAGAGGGTGTTGAGGTCATCAGACGCCACATACTACATAGTCGGAACCAGTTAGTTGTTGACATTGACACATCTAATCTTGCCACTGGAAGCAAACGGGCGTTTGCTAAGAAGATACTCTTACGCCCAATATACCCTAAACCATACCTAAACCCTACACCCTAACCCTAAACCCTAAGCCCTAAACCCTACACCCTAAACCATACCTAAACCCTACACCCTAACCCTAAACCCAAAGCCCTAAACCCTACACCCCAAACCATACCTAAACCCTACACGCTAACCCTAAACCCTAAACCCTAAGCCCTAAACCCTACACCCTAGACCATACCTAAACCGTACACCCTAACCTTAAACCCTAAGCCCTAAACCCTACACCCTAAACCACAAGGCCTACGTAGTCAAGTCACAAGGGCTTCCAATCAATTCAAACAGCCATACCCAAAATCCGCAGGTCCCCATCCCCACAGAAACTTTAATAGGGTTTAGGGCTTAGGGTTTTTGAAGCCACGCCATATAGGGGCCTCAATAATTAGAACAGGCTTTTGGGTTAATTATGGTACTATAAGTATAAGAAGCAACCCCCAAGATAGTATGGGTAATTATCAAGGCACCCGCATTAGAAACGCCCACGATCCTATAAATATAACAAGGAACCACCAAAATAGTCCAGGTAATGCTTAAGGCACCTACATTAGAAACCTAGAAGACTCTGCCCAGCGAAGATAAACCCTAAACCCTAAACCCTAAAACCCTAAACCCTAAACCCTAAACCCTAAAACCCTAAACCCTAAAACCCTAAACCTTAAACACCCTACAAGTCAGCCCCACGAATGCCGAGAAAGTGGAAAAGGGCTTCTACGGCTAAGGAACTTAGGAACTTACCTACCTCCGGTCTAAGGTTGAACCCATGGGCCCCTAACATGGGCCCTTTGGGGATTCTAGGGTCCCATAAGGGTATATATAGGGTATATAGTAGGTATATTAGGGTCCTAGGCTTAAGGGCCCATACTAGGGGCCCATGGGTTCTACCTTAGATCCGGGTTTAGGGCTTTGGGGTCTAGGAGTTTAGGGTTTTGGGGCTTCGGCGTTTAGGGTTTTAGGGTTTAGGCGTTTTTAGGGGTTTAGGGTTTACGCAAAGGCTAACTAGGATCAGCAACAATGCTACTACGAATACGACATGTCACGTTCACCCTGCCCTATACCCTAGGTTTTGGCGACGGTGAGAGTTCGAATAATAGCAGTTGTAACAGTGATAAGAATAAAAGAACAAACAATAGCAGCCATAAGCATACAAATAATCATTTCTATAATCAAAGCAAGAACGACAAACGAAAGAATAATAGTGGTAACACCGACAAAAAAGTGAATCAATCAAAATACTAATTGTAATCATAACAGTAACGTAATGGTAATAGCTATAGTTGTCTTGACTGTGCTAACGAAAACCGTGAGCATCACAGCAATAGTAGCCATCTCCAGAACCCTAAACCCTAAAGCCTAAACCCCTAAACCCCTAAACCCCTAATCCGTAAGGCCTAAACCCTCAAACCCCCAACCCTAACACCCCAAACCGTCAAACCCTAACACCCCAAACCCTCAAACCCAAAACCCTAACACCCCAAACCCTCAAACCCAAAACCCTAACACCCTAAACTTTCAAACCCGAGACCCTAACACCCTAACACCCTCAAACCCTACACCCTCAAACCCTACACCCTACTAAAACCCTAAACCCTACTAAAACCCTAAACCCTAAACCCTAAACCCTAAACCCTAACACCCTAAACCCTCAAACCCTAAACCCTAAACCCTAAAACCCTAACACCCTAAACCCTAACACCCTAAACCCTAACACCCTCAAACCCCTAAGCCAATCCGGGTGCCACGCTTCTGCTGCAACTCGTAGGTCCGGCCTGGAGGGCCTTTGGAACGACGGCTCGAAGCTTTTCAACCGGGGTTTGAAGGGTTTAGGGTTTAGGCTCTCGGGTTTAGGGTTTAGAGGGTTTAGGGATTAGAGGGTTTAGGGTTTAGGGTTTAGGGTCTCGGGTTTAGGGGTTTAGGGCTTTAGGGGTTGGGGGTTCGGGGTTGTTGGTTTTAGGGTTTAGGGCTTTAGCATTGTAAGCGTCTTGGCTGTGGTGACCTGGGTTTCAGAAAGGTTTAGGGTTTAGCGTTCTAGGGAACCCTCGACCCTAAAACCCTAAACCCTACAACCCTACACCCTAAACCCTAAAACCCTAAAGCCCTAAATTCCCAAACCCTACACCCTAAAACCCTACGCCCTAAACCCTAAAACCCCAAACCAAGCTTCAATGCTAAGAAGCTTCATCGGGTTCTGGAAAGGTGCATGGGGGCTCAAGGGTTTCAGTTTTTTCTTTAGGGTTTAGGGTTTAGGGTTACCAGGGTCGAAGGGGTTCGATGACGGGCTGGAGCTTCGACGTTGCGAGATTTTCGAGCAGGCTTTGATGACCGTGCTTTTGATGTCCTCGTGTACCCTGAACCCCAAACCCTAAACCCAAAACCCAAAACCCAAAACCCTAAACCCAAAAGCCTAAACCCTAAACCCAAAACCCAAAACCCTAAACCCTAAATGAAGGTCCCAGGTGGCGGAGTTTTTGGGTCGTTGAGCTTTGCTATTTTTGGCTGGGTTTAGGGTTTAGGGTTTAGGATCCGGGGTTTAGGGTTTAGGGTTTAGGAGCTGTGCGGGTACCAGTATGGTAGAGCTGCTACGGTACGGTTGAGGGTTTCGGCACTAAGGGTTTAGAAAGAGTACGGCCATAAGAGTCGCGTAGCAATACTTTCTGCATCCATTTCGCTGGGGTATCCGAAACCTCTCGAGATGCAAGCACCAAGGACCGAAACGTAGCAGCGACATTGATCCTTCAACTCTGAACCCCTGCATTGAGGGTGTTGAGTGCCGTGTTTAGCGCCTAGGAATGCATGTTCGGGGTGAGACAAGTCTGGATCTCTCTGATCTGACCCCATTAAGACCCTCCCCTGAGGATCCGTAACTTGAACCTTGTATGGTAGTTTTCCTTGTTAGGGTCCCCTATTTGCTGAAGCTCTCATCCAGCGCTGTCTACATCAGACTCCTACATCATTTCCTTGGCTGTGATATCAACACCCGATATACTATACACAATCTCAAGGGTCTAGAAATATATATATATATATACATATATACATATATATATATATATATATGTACATATATATATATATATACACACAATCAAATGTGTACACATAATTGCTTGTTTGCGTAGTCACCTAGTTTGAACACGTCCTTTACATCAAACCTGGAAGGGCTGTCTTGACTGTGCACCTTGAGACCTGCGTCACTTTTGTCACTTTGCGGGCGCGGTGCGAGGACGCACTTGCGTGTTGGTAGGGACGGTCCTAAGACCGGCAGCTCAAAGCCGCGTTTTAAAAGCTCCCTACTTGAGGCCTGCGTCCCACAAGTTGGAGTCAAGTCCCTGCGCGCTGGGCTGGCGCAGAACTGACATCATCTCAGACCGCAATCTTCCAGAGACCCTAACAATCTTTACATAAACAAGGAACATACCTTCATAACGCGGTCGGGCATTTATTGCAATCTAAGTGGTGCTCCGTCTCTCTATCGACTCCGAAGCTTAGCAACAAGCATATTTGTGGAGATCTCTGTAACCGAAACCATAAGCCAAAGATACAACAACATACAAGCACTGAAAAGCCTTGAAGGAGTCCACTACAGTTCAAGGGATGTTTATTGTTAACGGTGTTTTGGAGGAAGAACATTTAAGTCACCAGAGTAGGCACCAGATTTTCGGACTTGTTACGTTCCCCTTCAAGTACCATCGCATGGGTCTTGGGTACCAGGATTCAAAGTATAGCTGGGTTCCTCAGCAGCTTCGGCATCCTTCGGACCTTCATAACAAGGGCACCCTTTTTCTGGGTATATTCGGTTGTAGTAAGGAGACCCCAGAACAAACAGGGCAGAAGGGTACTACTGGGGAACCTAGATAGCATTTAGGATCTAGAGTGCGGCAAGACTTTAGGTGGTTGCACCTTCGGGGAACCACACTCGAACCACCCCTTCGTGATGATGGCAGCTCGTCAGACTACAGTTAGGGTTTAGGGTTTAGGACAGCAACATGTGTCTTGAAGAGAGTAACAATACCTAAGCACTGACAGGTAACCATACCCTAAACCCCACAACAACCCTAAACCCCAAACCCCAAAATCCCTAAACCCTACACCCAACAACCCAAACCCCTAAACCCATAGCCCTAACCCCGAAACCCATAACCCTACACTCAAAACCCCTAAGCTCTAAACCCTGTAGATCGCTAAAGTAAGAAGAGGCCGTGGCCTGAAACGGGACCTGATGAGCAAGTGAGACGGTACTTAGAGGATCATGGACTTAGCAACTGTTTTTTGAAGGGTTTAGGGTTTAGGGTTTTGGGTTGAGGGTTTAGGGTTTAGGGTTTTGGGTCTAGGGTTTAGCAACTAGGGTTTAGGGCTTAGGGTAAGCAAAATTACTTGTAACCCATCTAGGGCACTTATAAACGTACTTACAAAGTCCCATGAGCCTCTAAGTAGCTTCAAGCCCTCGTCTTCGCCCTGTACATCTGACGCGCCTTCATAATGCGGGCAGGATGCCCTAAAAGGGAGTATATAAGGGTTCTGCAATACGGGTTCTTTAGGGTGTGAGTACATGTAGGGGCCTGAAACATTAGACTATGGTTTCGGGGTATATCATAGTAACAGTATTAGATAAGGAGCCCTAGGGAATAGTAAACAGGGTTTCCACTGACTCGGGCTTTTTTGTTACATCTGGGGGCCTTAACAATTAGAATAGGGTTTTGGGGCCCCGTATACTACAATGGCAATAACGAAACGTTCGCTTCAGAAACATGCCCAATATTCTCACAGCAGCGTTGGCAGGATGCCAGCGGCAACTATACACGAAGCAGAGTTCATCTGCGCATGGCTGGTTTGAGCACTGGCGTCCAAAGATGCATCCAAAGAGTAGTTGTGCTGCCCAGTTTCTGCAGAATCACTGACAGCGACAGCCACTTTCAAGTCAAGGCTATCCTTTGCACCTCGAGACTCATGCGATGCCATCAACTCTACCATGAGCTTGCTGGTGCCACCGGGCATGCAGCTGACCCTGGAACCAGGGCAATCCCCAAGCAAGTTGAAAACGCTCATCACTGAGCCGATGGTATTCTCGATCTCATCCTTGTGGCGTGGCTTGAGTTCTCCAGTGCAGATGTCGGAGCAGTAGTCTGCCACATCGCTGAAGTGAGCTTCCATCAGCGGGCACATGCACTGAGCGAACTGAGAGGCTTGCTCGTCACATCCACCAACAAAGCTTGTCTCCAGGTCCACAAAAGCCGGAGCCAGCACGCCTAGGAAGGAGGATAAACAGTCAGCCCGATGAGACCACGGCTTGTCGGAAAACATATCCACCGCCGAGTTCAGGCAAAACCAACACTCACAGTCCTGGCGATCCTTCGCGTTAGTGCAAGAATAGCCATGTACATGGGTTGCAAAAGCAGCCACACTGAGGATCACAAAGAAGGAACGAGCCATCGGGGAGTATACACCGAGGACGAGCAATTCTACCTGCTGCAATCAAGGTGGGACCAGTCTCTGGCGGCGTCAGGAAACGATCTGAACCAGAACAATCCTCCTCCTCCTGATGCTAATGCTGCTGCTCCTGTTGCTGCTATAGTCCTACTCCTCCTACGACTACAACAGCTACGACTACTACCACAGCAAACTGTATACAGGTGGGTAGTTCTCCAAGTTAGGGTCCCTGTTTGGGGGTACGGCACCCCTATACAAAGGACCCCAAAAGGGACCCTAATTTAGAGAACTACCCAGGTGAAGCAGCCGGGCAAGAGCATCAGGCCAGAGCAGATGCAGGTCGAGATGTTATGCGTATGTGGGTAGTTCTCTAAATTAGAGTCCCTTTTGAGGTCCCCAATATAGTACAGCACCCTTATAAAAGAGACCCCAAAAGGGACCCTAATTCGGAGAACTACCCATGTGCATGCGATTGTCTTTGCATGTCAATGTGATTCCTCGGATGCCTCTTCAAACACCCGCAAGCATGCTTACAGATGCTTGCCGCAGGTGGATGTCACTGGCACGCCAAGAGGTTAGCAGCTTGAAGCCCGGGCTTGGGAAGTCGAACTGCGCTATCCTGCTGCAGCCCTGCTGTTGGGAATTCCGTGCACGGTCGCTATACAGAACAACATGCTTCCTGACAGGAACGAGTGTCGTCACCCTCGCTCTCACCATCATGAACCTCATGGCCACGGTCCCAAAAAGATTATGGAACTCTTGTAAATCACAATGTACAGGGAACACATTATGCACATATCATTCACATCTCTAGGTTTGAACCGCGAAAGAAAACCTTCTAGAACTCCTGAAAAGCGCTAGCTAACCCTAAACCCTAAACCC